CAAGTACGGCAATAGAGTATACACAAAGAACACGGAGTGTTAGAAAGTGAAAGGGGACATGGTAGAAGTTTGTAAAATTATGCATGGCATGGAGAAAGTGGATATAGAAGTGTTTCTCCCTCTTTCGTAACACCAGAACTCATGGACATTTGATGAAGCTGGATGTTGGAAGAGTTGGGACAGATGAAAGAAAGTCCTTGTTCACACAGTGCCTAGTGAACTATGGAACTCACTGCCACAGGAGGCAGTGATGGCCATCAACTTGGATGTCTTTAAAAGATTAGACAAATTAATGGAGGGCAAGGCTATTGGTGGCTAATAGACATGATGGTTATATTCTACCTTCACTGTTGGGGGCAGTGTGTCTCTGATTACCACTTTCTGGGTAATACAGACAGGCAGAGTGGTGTTGCTCTCATGTCCAGCTTGCAAGTTTCACACAGGTATGTGATTGGCCCCTGTGAGAACAGGATGTTGGACTAGATGGGTCCTGGGTCCAGCAGGCTCTTCTTATTTTCCTAGGATTCCTAATGCCCTTTGAGGACACTCCTTTCCTTTCCTTTCCTTCTCCCTCCAGATTTCCATTTACATCAACAACAAGCAATGCTTTTTTAAGCAGGAACTCGCCAGAACTCAGTTCTGGCACCTCTTTTTCTAGAAAAAATAGCACTGACAACTGGCACTCTCCATGTGCCATCTTACGTGGGATGTTGCATGTGTGTGTAGGGGCACCCCCTTTATGTTACGGATAGTGCCGTTTTCATTACATAAGGATCAGTACACAGAGAATGAATACACTATTTGTGTGTGAGAAAGAGAATGAGAGTGAGAGATTATAATACACGATAAAGCAGTGCCACCTACTGGACAGCTGCAGCTTTGCAAAGCATAAAAACATGGAACTAAATACAGTGGCACCTCGTCTTGTGTCCGCCTCGTTGAGCACCCATTCCGTCGAACGTCCGCAGCAAACCCAGAAGTACCAGAACGGGCTACTTCTGGGTTTGCCACATGCACAGATGTGCAAACTGCTCCGCACGCAGATGTGGCACTTTCGCTAGCATCCTTTTGGCCAGCGACTGGGGCTCCAGAATGGATCCCGGTCACAAAACGAGGTACTACTGTAGTCCTTTAAGTTTCTTCAGGGGAGGGAAGATTTGACATTTGCAGCCATTCACACTACAACTTAGTGTAGTGATATTGTTTGGTGGTCTGTAACTGTCATGTTTATGTCTTGTTTGGATGTTGCTTCCACCTCCAGAAAGCTACTATTTGGGGACCGCTAGTATGGAGGTCAGACATTGTGCTCCCTCATCATGTAATGTATTAAGAATAAGAGTTCTCAAGAACTCTTTTTAAAACAGATGTCAATAGCCACATCCTTCCTCTCGGGCAATATGGTATTTTCTTTCAGAAAAAACCTTTGTGTGTCTACAGGGCATAACTCATTCACAAAGTCATTCTTACTACTACATATTTGTTAGCTCTGTTAAAAAGGGAAGAGGTCAGTGTGTAAAAATTAGGCAGGAGGGGAAGCCAAACCCAGGAGGCTGTCTGCATTTGAAACATCTACACTGAGCTAGCATCTACAGGTTCATCACTGTGGCATTTTAATGTTAACATGACCACGCCAGGCTTGCCGTACATATTTTGGGTGATAAGTGGCCCATGACAGAGAATAACCCTACAGGAAGTAGGGCAATAATATTGTGTGACATGCTCATCACTTGAAAATCCAGTCATGCGATTTCACACAAGGCGTGGTTTTTATAAACCGGGTCAGCTTGTAGAACAGTGGGTAGGAAACGTTTCCTCATGAGCACGCTCCCCTACAGCCAGTCACGTAAACTGAAAAGAGGTGTCCATTCTACATAGCTCCATTGACTTCTTTGAAAGAGGGAGATGGTGGCTTAGGAGCCACAGCAGTTACCATGACTGACTGTATCTCACATTGCAAGCAGCGCCCCTTTGTTTGAGCACAGAGGCTCCAGTGCATGCCATGACATTTCTAGGCATGACTGCATATGCTGGAGCCAGCCTGCAGAAATGACCCCGTTCACCATGGAGAGCTGAGCGTGCAGTGGTGTTGCTGCCACTAAGAGGAACTGAGAGTTGTCCTGAAGTTTTTTTCTTCGTCCATTGTGCAGGCTCTTTTTCAAAGGGCATTGCTGAAGGAGAAGTGGACCCTTCCTTTGGGCCTCTAGAAGCAATACGGCTAACCATCCAGACTGACTCTCCCGTATGGATCATCTTGAGCGAGGTAATATGTTTTCCTGGGGAAAGCCCCTTTATAAGGGTGGTGATTACAGCAGCTCCCACTTAACCTTTCCGCCAACTGATCTGTCTAGGCGGGACAGGGAAAGAAAGTTCTTGAAAGATACAGTGCCCGTTTAGGGCCATTGCCTGCAATGCCCCAGACAATTCTATCTGGGGCACAGTGGGGAATTTTAAAATTGTGGCTTGTAACTGCCAGGGGCTGAGCACAGATGCCAGTTGGCAATGCAACCTGCCGGGGATTCTCTGGGTCTTTCCCCAGGCATGCATTCGGTAAGTAACCACAGTAATTGATCACAGCCCTCCACAGAGACAGGCTTAGCTTCCTGACAACCACCTTCGCAGGAGCTGTCCCCCACCCCCCACAACTCAAGAGACCTATCTCCCAAAGCCAGAAAGGAGAATGTATGTTGCTTAGGAAATAAAACACACTTCGGTGCTCAGGTGAACAGGAGTGGTTTGCTTATTTGGTGGTTGCATGGGGCTTGTGAGGTGATGCAAACAGATTTGGTGAAATAGAAGCTGGGTAGTCAGATCCTCTGGGCAGCAGTTGCATCCGCCTACAGCTGTGATTTTAAGTCTCAACTGTGAAATCCCTCCCATTTCCGACAGAGGTTTCATGCTGTGATTTGCTTCAGGTGCGGTTGTCCAGAAGAGACAAAACTCTTTTCTCTTGCACTTGGCATTAATTAATAGGGCAATATTCTAGAAGAGAAAAACTGATTTGCCAAGCTCTGACCTTTTTCTGTTGTTTTGCTAATCCCATGTACTTCCAGATATTCCTGAAGAAAGCTGATTGAACTTCAAGACACAGGGATAATGCACAACGTGGCTGTCAGCTCTTCCCCTCTTCTTCCTCTTGTCTATGAAACTGCAGACACAGCAGAATAGGAGCAGCCTAGTCAAAGGTGCCTGCTGAAGGGCACCTGCTGCTCCCAGAACAGGAAGAAAATGTTGGTGGTGAAACTTGGCAGGGCCTTAAGGGTTTCTGGACCACATTTACCGGGAGAAGAGAAGCATTTTTCATGCACAGGTGCTGGACTGTATTTTAAAAAATGAAGCACTAGTGCTGGCCTATCTTGGATCCAGCTGCTTCTGCAGCTACAAAAAGAAGACCTTGGAGACTAACTTTCCGTGTAAAAGATTTGTTCTCCCCCCTTCCTTTGAGCAAGGACCACACACTATTCCCATGCCTCTTCCTCTTCCCCCCACCCCTGGCCCCTTGGGTGTTGATTCCTGAATGTATCACTAAAGGGTGCATTTAGAAATACGGGTTTAAGGACTATGAAGGCTAACTGCGAGGGCAGCTCAACTGTCAAGCGAAGCACTGATGCATCTTGGGAGCAAAGCAGACTGCACCTCCGGCCCCACGTGTGTAAGTAAAAGCAGTTGCTCCAGACTAAAGCTGAGGATTAAATATGAGGGGTAACTGGTCTGGGGTGGGAGGGAAGGGATGTATGGAGGGAACAGAATGGCAGGGAAATGGAAAACCACACTGTGCCTGCCAGGGTTGTACATGTGCCCTTCATACAATAAGAGTTCCTGTCGAAGTCTCCAGTGTCTTCATGCCTTGAGAATGAGTGCTAAAGTCCATCCTTTTAAATCCATATCTGTTATTTACTGGTTGGTGTGAATTTTGGAGAAAAATAAACCATGTAGGCCAGTCCTCAAATGGTAGGGATTAGAGTAATTTAAAACAAAAAAACCCCAATGTCTCTAGCTATACACTGGAATGCGTTATACTACTTTAATGTGCTGTATTTTTTATTATTGGATACATTTGATTTTTAAGTATATCTATATAAAATATATATATTAAAATGTGCACTGTAAAATTTTAATTCAACTTAAAGTTGCATGTTTTATTTTACTGGCTCTTTCATTAATTAGGAAAGTCAAAGGCAAAGCGTGATTTTATAGGGCTATTAAAGTAAGACATGCTTTCTGTACAGACACAGCTAAGACAGATTTTGCAATGGGGAGGATTTCTATTTAAACCAAAACCTACAGATACTTCCTCTACACAGTAACCTATTTAACACACTGGCCCTTAACGTCGTCAAACTTGCATGTTCTCCTCCTTTATCACAGGTATTCTCCATGTGATCCATTAGTGAACCCACAATGGTAGTAGGTTCCCTTTGATGGATAGCGCTGTGCACAAATGCAAGCAAAAGGGTGCAAAATAGTTGTGACCAAATCAAAGGCTGCCTTCCCACAGGCACTGAAGCTCACCACTGAGGCATAAATAAAAGCAGCATTGTGGTTTCCAACTGGAGCACAAAGTACAGCCATTTTGCATGGAGGAAGGTCCTGCGATATTGGAGAGTTGCAGCCACACAGAAGACATTACTGAGTTAAATGTATTGTATAAGGCAGCCACATGTAAGCAAAGGTTCAAGCAAAGGAAAAGGTTGATAGAAAACCTTAAGGGGGGGGGGAGAAAAGCTCCAAAACAAACTGAAATTCAACAACATCCAAAAGACCACAGGTTAGCCCTCACCCTTACCAGAGATAGTAAGTTCTTGCTTCAGACAGGAATTCACTATGAGTTGACAGCTTGGTTATGACAGATACTGTTTAGAAACCATCATGTTGGAGCAGAGTTTCTGAGAAGCAAACTTGGCTGGCCATGTCAGAGCTCACTGATGACTCCCAAAACTTGCTGGCACATACAAATAATTGTTACTCTAAATCTCTTGCTCACTCTCTCCTACCAGTTGAAGTTGACCCAATGTCACTTTTAATGTAAAAGCTGTTGTAACCACAACACAGCTAAGAAAATGTAGAAGCCGTCACAAAATTGCTTTTTTAAAAAAGGAAGAAAGATGTACAATCATTTTAATTTAAAGAAATGAAATGAATGTTGGAAAGTTGAAACCTATGGTGTCATAAGCAGGATAATTTACCAGCAGAAGGGCAGTAGACGCTGACTCAGAAGCTCACTTCGGGAATAGAAAATGTGGGAGTGGCACAAAATAGACAAGGAGCCCTGTCACAGACAAGCCAATAAGAATGCAAAGAACTCCAGCACTGAGGTACAAGGGGGCGAGTCTGTGGGGAGGAACAAGAACACAAGATGCTAGTTACTATTAGGATCGGGTGGTCAGTTGGGACACTTATTAAAAGCTTCTCTTGTGTGATGATTTCCATAGTAATATGATAAATAGACTTTGAAACAACTGCAATTAGTTTGAAAGTATAGAAAAGTTTTAGCTCTCACAACCTCATGTGTACCATTTGTTAAATCTGGTTTTAAATCTTATTCTAATTTTTATTTGGACATTTCTGATGACAACACCAAACAGAATTTCAACATATTTTTCCATATAACACAGGATCCTGTTGGAACTGGGAACCTGTTGGAACAGGCCCTGTATGGGATGTAACCATACAGTTACTTACAGGACTTATGAAGCTCCTTGTCCAGTGACCCCCATCCTGTTCTCTTTCCTAAGAAAGTCATCAGTCAAGTCCAAGCCCCACCCCTCTATAATGATTGCAGGGCAATTATCTCCTGACATGGGACATCCTTAAGCAGGGCTGCCAGTACTAGGCCACATGCAATGATACACCTGAGGAACAGCAGGATTGTGGGGTTTTCCAAAGAGGTTTTGTAAAAAGGAGATCAAGAATGTGAGCCACCTGTGGTTGCTGGAGGAAGGTATTGCTCTCAGTAAAGTGGTCAGTCTTTGTGGGGTGTATCATTTCAGGCTGCAGTCGGAGCTCACAGGTTTAAATGCACCTCTGCATCAAGAAAATACAACACATGCCTACACATAGAAATCTAGATGCCAGGAAAACGGTAATGCCCCCCGATACTTAGTTTTCTATAAGTAAGGAATGTGTTTGGTATGAAAGAGCCCTCGACTTTGTATGCCCGCCCCCCATCAGTAGCCTGAAGGGATACAAGGTTAGGCTGCCATCAAGACTGCAGATGCCAGCTAATATCCAGAGGCGGCAGACAGGCACTTGCCTATTTGAGAGAGAAGTTACCGTATTTTTCGCTCTATAACACGCACCAGACCATAACACGCACATAGTTTTTAGAGGAGGAAAACAAGAAAAAAATATTCTAAATGAAACAGTGGATGTATGATTTTTGTGGTTCATGCTGTGGCCACAGACATGTGATCTGACGGTGAGTTTGGGGTAGCCCAATGCAAAAATCCTGAGGATCCATGTGGATCCATGCTAAAGTCACCCTAAAGTCGCAGGGGCACTGGGGGAGTGAACGGGAAGCAAGAGAAGGAGAACAATGCCTCTCTCTCTCTCTCTCTTTCACACACACACACACACACAGAGAGTATCAATCCTAAAGTTGCAGGGGCGCTGGAAGTCGCAGGGGCGCTGGGGGAGTGAACGGGAAGCAAGAGAAAGTGAACAATCCCTCTCACACACACAGACACACAGAATATCAATCCTAAAGTCACAGGGGTGCTGGAAGTCGCAGGGGCGCTGGGGGAGTGAACGGGAAGCAAGAGAAAGTGAACAATCCCTCTCACACACACAGACACACAGAATATCAATCCTAAAGTCACAGGGGTGCTGGAAGTCGCATGGGCGCTGGGGGAGTGAACAGGAAGCAAGAGAAGGAGAACAATGCCACACACACACACACACACACAGAGAGAGAGAGAGAGAGAGAGAATCAATCCTAAAGTCGCAGGAGAGCGCAGGGGCGCTGGGAGTGGGAAGCAAGAGAAGGAGAAGGATGCCACACACACACACACACACACACACACACACACACACACAGTATCAATCCTAAAGTCGCAGGAGAGCGCAGGGGCGCTGGGAGAGTGAACGGGAAGCAGGAGGAGGAGAAGGATAGCTCAAGCACACACACACACAGCCCCTACAGTGGCTAATCCAAAATCGGACAGCAAAAAACTGCAGGCAGGGATAGAGAGCAAACCCCGCTCTGCTTCTCTCCCTCCTCCCTGGCTCAGCTGGCTGAAAAGCTTTGCTGCTACTTAGCAGCTCAGTGGGTAGGAGAGAGGGACATAGAACACGGGGTTGTTTTAAAGCAGCCAACCAGACAGGAGCCGCTTACACTCGTGTAAGCGGCTCCTCTCCTCTCCCGCTCTGCTTCTCTCCCTCCTCCCCGGCTCGGCTCGCTGACAGGAGCCGCTTACACCCGCTTTGCTGTTTCAAAGCGAACCATGGACTGCTCACAACTGCAGCAGATTCCCCTGCCATCCGTAGGCATTCGCTCCATAACACGCACAGACATTTCCCCTTACTTTCTAGGAGGAAAAAACTGCGTGTTATGGAGCGAAAATTACGGTAACTGGCACACTGAAAAACACAGCATTGTGCTTAGAACAACTCACCTTCCTTGAGCACATCGTGCATATCCACTAAAGTACTGGTAGCGAGCAATCAGATAAAGAACCCCACAGCATGCAGCCAAAACTATAGGAGGAGACAATCAAAGTAGTTATTATGGAGAGACCCGGGAAGATTGACCCTATTTTCAAACAAAAAACCCATCAAAAGCTTACACTTACAGTTCCTGCTCTTAAGCACTATGCTACAGCAACTCACAAGATACACCCAAGCACACAAAGTTCTGCAGAAGTCCACATCCATCAGTTATTTGGAGAAGGGAACCAAAGCAAAGCAGGAGGCCTTTAGTCTGAGGTCACAACAGCCCCTCCATTAGCCTTGCCTTAATAGTGAAAACAACTATTTACCACACCATCACTACTTGAAGGCATCCTGTGCTATTGTGCCACATTAAATTTTGTCAGTGTTTAAGTTGCCTCAGGATTCTTGTTTTTGCTGTGACTAAAGCATTAAAATAAGCCTTTGAGGTCTTCCAAATCAATCAACACCAACTTGGAAGGTCATAGCACCTCCCAGCTAGAGGTCAGAGGAGAAGGATTTTACTTAGCCCTCCCCTGACAGCAGTGACTTTCCTGGAACTTTAAAGATTTCCCCCCTAGGCTCTGGAATTACCATGCTACCACAACCAAAGGGAATTTGGGGAGTAAAGGACTTGCTATGTGGATTGGGCCATTATGTCACATGCTACACAAAACATTTTCAAGAAGTGGCTCAAATGAGCATTTGTTTTCACCCTTTCACAAACTTGCAAGCAAAACTGAGGGTAAAAACATGTTAGAGTGGCTTCACACATTACATGTGGCAGAAACAACTGCTGTAGGTTCACCACTGCAGCAAGCAAGTCAACTACAGACAGGATACTGACATCTTAAACCCCCTGTGTGCCTGTATCTCTGATTGGACCATGACTTACAGGTTATATTAGTCACACTTTGCAGTGAAAGACACTTGCAGCAATCATGTTTACCATGAATGTGTGCAAGCGACAGAGTGTGCATGTGTGTGTGAGTGAGTGAGAGAGTGCATGTGTCTGCAGATGAGAGACATAAAGCATCTATGCGCAGGCAATGGCCAAGATCAGCCCAGTGGAATGAGGCCCCTGAGTGGCCACCCATCACATCATGTGATCTTCAGAAGCAAAATAAGTTGCCCACTTCTAACCTGAAGCATGAAGCCACCTCATTTAAAGAGCAGAAGACTTGAACCCTTTCGCTCAAAATATGCAATAATGTTAGCATAGGGTGAAATCCAACAGAACACTTAAGTGTTTTCCACCAGCACGGTGATTTCTACTTGCCCAAGAGAAAGTTCTCCCTCTCTCCTACTCCCACACCAGACAGGGAAGAGGGGTGGGGGGAAGTCCCATTGCACAAGCAGAACTCTTGCACTGACATGACACGGCAGCTGAGTGCCACCCTTTATGTAGCAACAAACATCATTTTGCAGCTGCGTAAGTAGTGCAGCGGCAGCAGCTTAGCTGACAAAAACGTTTTATGCTTTTCACATTAAGAGTTTTATGAATTAAGGTTTGCTTTTTTACCTTGATGGGAAAAGACTCCAGCCACCCACAAGAGTGAAAGAAATATTGGGAAGTATTCGGTGCAATTTGCTCTAAACAAAACAAAGAAAATTAATTAATCTGTAGTTTGGGGATGAGGAGATGACACACAACGATCACAGAGGCTTAGACCCTGGATAATATCCCACCTAAGCAGCTTTTTTAATGACTGGATTTATCATGAAGCACCCCACACTGAGCACACTATCCTTATCTCCACCCACAACACTATGGTCCAGTTCACACTGCAGAGAATGGACCCGTGTCTGGGCTATACCACTTTTAAGACATTTTACATGACTGAATGTCCCTGCAAAGAAAACTCTTCCCTGAGATGAGGAGGTCAGAGAGAAGGCTCGAATAGAACCTTTCTCCCCTGACCTCTAGCAAGAAGGTGAAAGTTGGTACCAATTCATTTGGAATATCTTAATGCTTCCTTGACATTTCATGAGGCAAATGCAAAGTACTATCTGATTGTGGCCATACTACTCTGGTACTTGGCGGGTGAGGAACGGCAGCAAGGAACTCATGTTGAATGCAGAGAATCTAAGATTTTCGTTAAAAAGGTCACAAAGAAGTTGCTTCTATCGCTGAGAGATACTGAAAATACAGGGAAAATTTTGTGCTATGTAATTCACTATGCTTATATACTGCCATCAATGCACCTTGTGTTACGATTAAGGAAAAAAACATCAGTGGGCTCGCATTCAAAAATTCAACAAACCGGAGACAAGGGAGGAACTGGGTGGGGGTAGCAAAGGAGACAGATAACAAGGGACACAGGCAACTCTATACAGTGATACACATACTTAGGCTTAGATGCAGTTTGGTCAAAGGAGGTTGTGCCAAAGCATTCATGGAAAAGGAGAGGTGAAATTTGAAGGAACAGCTGGGACCCTACAAGTGTTCTAAGAGGCAGTTTGAAGCACACACAGGGCAGCAAGGGGGAAAGAGTAGAGTCATTTGAGACAAGAGCTTCAGAGGTAAGAAGAGTGGAGGTTGTGAACGGAGAACTTCAGAGCAGCCAAGAAAAAGCATAGACCCCAATGCCGGGGGGGGGGGGCTCTACTTCCTCCATTCCCAGAAGTGTGTACTGATGCATACTCTCTCTGCTCTCTGTTCTGTAACCAGTTACTGATCCAAAAGAGGAACTTGCTTATTGTTCTGCGACTGCTAAGCTGAATGGGGGAGTCTTTTTGAAAGTCTTATGTATGCTGTGTTGACTGGATCACTTCTGCCTGTATGCTTGCCACTCTCAAGGAACTCTGAAAGGTTAGCGTGATGGGATGAAAGAAAAGAGGCGGGGGCAAGGACTGCTTGAAAGTTTTCAAGAGAAAGGATGAAGAGGTCACGCTGGAAGTAAGAGCAGACAGGAAGCCAAGAGGGAAGAGAGCTAAGCAGTGGTATCACGGAACTGCAGCATTAACAGAAGTGGACATATTTGCCATTGGAGAGCTGAATAAAGAATAAGGGGACTGAGGTGGGAGAACAACACAAGGTTTATTTAATCGTTTTAAATCTCACACTGTGGCTCAACGGACCCCATGGGACAAGCCACTGCAGAAATATGAGACAGTCCCAACAAAAAATATGTAAAATAGAACATATAATAAAATGAAATAGCTATTAAAATCCATTAGAAACCATTCAAAACAGCAGGACAATAAAACAAAATCTGATTAGCCACCATCTCCAAACAGTGCTCTTAAGGTACATTACAGAGCAGAAATTTCAGAGTATAGGTGCGACCACTCACAAGGCCCTGCAGGCCCTGCCCCTTATTTCAGTCAGCCAGATCTTGGATAAGGTTAGCATGTGGGAATGGGCACTTGTTTCCCCAATGTATTCTAGAGTTTAGGTCATTTCAGGTTTGAAATTGCCCAGAAAAAATATATTGTGCCAATGAACTTATCTTGGCCCAGGTAGTATCTGCTTCCTCTGCACTGTATCCATCAGAGAGACATACTAGCACACTTCGAACTGACTGAAGTTTCAATTCAGTCTTCAGAAAGACAGGCCGATGTAAAGTTATGTTACAGTAGTGCAATCTGGTGATTACCAGTACACACATCAATCATTTAAAGTCTGAATAGGATACAGCTGGACACAGTAGAACCCATTTAATTTTAAATGACACACATGTGTGTCTGTTTATGAACAGATGCGGGTGGACTGATGCTTATTTTTAGAATGGTAGAGTCTGCAGGCGGCTACATTCAGCTGAGAGGCAAATTACATATTATACTGCAGCTGTGTACAATAAAGGCCCATGGTCCTCTTTGCTCTCATAAAACTCCCACTGGAGAGAAAATTTGCATTGGAGAGGTGAAAGCTACTTTGCTTTTCCTCTGAAAATTGCGGGTAGCAGGTTTTGCCCACAACTGTGTTCCAGGTACATGTTTACTTCACAAGAATGGGTCTGGAACCCGGAGAGAGGGTTTAGAGTGAAAGGGAAACACCCAATAAGAGAAAGGTGAAGCTCTCCATTTCTCCCTGTCCTTTGTTCGAAGCAAATGGTCCCCTCCTACCTTGAACTTTGAAGATACAGGGCTATCAGTGTGAAGTACAGATTGCTCTTAAGCAGTTATCATTTCAGTGTAAAAACAGCAGCATCTTCTCTGATAGAACTTTCCTGCCCCCCCATATATTTTGTGACTTCCCATGTGGACACAAGGGTATATGACCATCACTGTTAGTCTATGGCAAGCTTTACTACCTTTAAAATGAATGTGTTAATTGGAACCCACGACAAGGTGTTCACATTTCTGCCGAATTTAAAAGCTCTACTCCTGCAGTTGGAGCATCTCCCAAATAAAAAACTATGGGGTGGGAGTGAGGAGAAGAGAGAGAGAAAATGCAAAATAATAATAATCCCTTTCTTCATACATTGAATACAGACTGTCACGATGTCTTTGCGGAATTCTAAAAGCAATTTTTAGCATCTCCTTTGAAAGTGTCAGTTAGAAACCAGAGTAGGTGGTCAAGTGAGCTGTGAAGATGAGTGGGTAGGAATTCTTTGCTAAGCAGTGCCTCCCAGTCACAGCTTGGTCTTCCCTGCCATCAGAATTCAGCTGCATGCTGGCCAAAATGCTACCCAAGGAACAAAATCACAAGGGCCACGAAATCACTTCAATGCCAAACATTCACTGAACTGCAGAAAATTCAAGACTATTTGTTCCACAAATGTTGCAATGTATGGAAGGTTTGGTGTTCAAACTCAGTGATCTTGTAGTCACATCACACAGACATGAAGCCAGTGAGTGTAATACACAGTTGTTACACAACTATGGCAAGAAGTAGTATATGAAGAATCTGAAGAGCAAAGTGTATGCGGTTGCACCTCATCTGTGCCAACCAGCATGTCAGTGTCTCTTAAACTGGTCAAAGGTTTCATCAAAATGTCTTTGCCTGTTCTCACATTGGCCAACCACATGCCTGTGGGAAACCCCCAAACAAGACCACAGCATCTCCTGTTGCTGCAACTCTCTTCTAAGAATTTTTCGAGCGCAACGTTTGGAGATGATGCATTGCCCGTCTATGCAGCCCGTTGGAGAGACTGAAATGGGGGCGGAGGAAATATGTGGTTGGTTAACACCCTGATCACATAAAACGTGTACACAGAATTACAGCTGCTGATGCCAATAGAAGTTGGTTCTAAGTATGGTTTAGGAACTAAGTAGATGACTGTATGGTAACCAATGTCACCACATGACGGGAAGTATGCCATTGGGAGATATGTCTACTTGGAATAATCTAGATTCACATCTCCAGGGGTGGGAAGCTGAGATAAAATTAAATTATAGAGAGGGGTGGCATGGAAGGGAAAGGAAGGGAAGGAGGAAGGAGGTTAACTTACTGAGCTCTGAAGATCCTTTCAAATTCTGGTGGACCTGAAGTCACAGGAGGAGAGACTTTGCACTTCCGCCGAACGTAGATCACCTGCATGGCAAAATAGGCTGGATGGGAAGTAAAACGAGGAGGAAAGAGAAGCCAGTTATTTCACCCAATGAAGTACAATGGGTTCTCTATTGTTTTTTAAATTATGTTTCTTACACTAAATAATAACCAAGAGCAGCTAGTTGCACAGTGGATGATGAGCAGTATTCCCATAGTTTGCTCATCTGCACTAGAAAGCACCATTCACGTTTCACTTGCAAGAGTAATAAACGAAAGTCTCATTCATTACAGAATCATCCATTTGCAAACTAACCTTTAGTCTCATCATGCTGGTCTCGCCTTCCTCTCAACAGCAATAAAGGTGCCTGAAAAATTCTAAAATTGTGCAGCCAAAAACCCACAATTCTCAGCGAGAGGCTTAAACTGTGCAATCTGAGCAGATTTATGTTGTTGATTAGTGTGCATACTTCATTTTGGGTTCACAGTTTTGCTTTGGGTTGCTTTGAAACACTTGATATCAAGGGAATAAGTGTAAAGGCGCTAAAGCAGAAATGGGTATAGATCCTGCATGAAGACCCATAACTCAGAGGAGGAGCCATTAGAGTCTGTGGCAGCAAACAAACAAGAGGGACAGACACCTTGTGGTACCTAAAAAAAGATTCCTTTCTTTAATGTACTTGTATACCACTTTTTATCACAAGTGATGGCAAAGCGGGGTTGCATTAAAAAAAAAAGTATAATTACAAGACACAATTAAGATAGCAGTAAAATAACAACAACCTCATTATCAATAGTAAAACCACAAAATCAGAACTATAAAACAAAAACAGACTTAAGGCTCAAAAACAGGCTAACCAGTGCCACCAAAAACTAGGAAAAGAAACAAGTAAAATTTCCATTGAACAGGGAGGTCCACTTCTTCAGATGCATGCAGTTGTAAAAGGGGAAAACAGGTAAAGGTTGGAGTTCAGTGGCAGTGAAATGCAAAAAGATAGCCTGCCAACTGAAGATTATGTATCATGTACCTGACAAAGTGGATTCTAGGCTAGAAAAGGGTTATCCCAGGGATTGGGAACTTGCGGCCCTCCAGATGTTGCTGAACTACAACACCCATCATTCCAGACCACTGGCCATGCCAAGTGAAGATGATGGGAGATGGAGTCCAAGAACATCTTGGGCCACAGCTTCTCCATCCCAAGCTTGTGCCACAATTAATCTGTTAGACTTCAAGGGGCCACAAAACTCTGTTGTTTTGGTCCCTAATACCCAAACCATTTTCACATTTTTAAACATTTAATTGAAACAGCCTGTACATTTTCTTTCCCAGCAGTGAAAGACCATTGAATTAAGCAGAGAATCAAGCCAATGAGGCCATCACTTCTTAGAAACACAACTGCACAGATTTGCTCCCAACTGCCCTTAGCCTAGCATTGTGGCTTATCTTAACACGAGAAGGCCAATAAAATCAAGACCTGAGTCCTGCACTGTGAAGTGACAACCAGCCATGCTTTCCCAAGATACCCATTCCATCTCCTGCCCACCCACTCCCTGCATTTTCCATTTCTCTACCAACATAGACCAGTGTTTCCCAACCGGTGTTCCGTGGCACACTACTGTGCCGCGAGACGTTGCCTGGTGTGCCGTGGGAGGGAGGCGGGCGAGTCGCACGGCGTCTCGGCGTCGGGCGGCAGCGAGCCCAGGAAGCGGCCCAGCCAGCCGGGGTCGCCCGCCTGCAGCAGCGCCTCACACCCGCACGAGACCTGCTCCGCCGAGAAGCGGGCGAGCGCGGAGGATCGGGCACGGCGGAGGCCAGCCCCGCGCTTGGAGAGGACGCAGCAGCCGTCGCCAAACCCGATCCTCCTCCTCCTGCTCCGCCGCCGTCCTCTGGCTCTCGGCCGGGAGGAGCCTGCGGCGACGGGGCGGGCGCCGAAGTTGGCAGAAGTTGGCGCGCCTCCTCGGCAGCGCCTTCGTCCTCCTCCTCCTGCCTCTGCTCTCCTCCGGCGGCGGGGGTGCGCCGCCCTCCCCGGCCGGGGGGCTCGGCGGGGCCCGCGGGGAAGGAGGCCATGTTCGCGGCGCGCGGGATCGCGGCCCCCCTCGCCCGCCTCCAGCCCGCTCCCCTCCCCCTGCGCGCTGCCCTAGCCGTGCAGGTCTCCTCCCCTGCACCGCCGTCCCCTTTCCACATCCTAGGAGCCGCGGTCCGCCTACCGCCCCCGGGCCGCGGCGCGGCTCCCAGCCCGGGCTGGCCTCCGCCTCCTGGGACGCGCGCCCACCCCCGCGGCCCCCCAAACTTCGGAGCAACTCTCCAGACGCTTCTCCCCCGCCTCGGTCTCCCTCCTTTCCACTTCTCTTCCCCCTTCCTTCCCTCTTTCTTTCTCTTTCTCTCCCACCCGCCTTTCCTTCTATTAACTTTCCTTTCCCCTCCCTTCGTCCTTCCTACTTTTACTCCTGGGCTCCTCCCCCCTTTGCGCAGCCACAAATCAATCTCTCTCTCTTTTTTCCCCTCTCTCTCTCCTTTGCTCAGACGCAAAAAAGCGCCGCTTTTTGGAAATCCGGACTGCTGTCCCCGCTGAAACGATACTTTAAAAAAGGAAGAACCCACTGGCTCTTATTTCTGTTTAAAGCAGTAGATCCCGAACTCTTTTGGCCCACTGCCCCCTTGGTTCCACATCCCCCAGTGTCCCCTATGCTTACTCTATAGAAAGCATTACAGGGGTTAACGCGGCTCGCTAAGGAAGATATTAATAGAATTCTGCATTTGGGGGGAGACCCTAACAGTCATCTACCATTACCTTCTATGCTGTTGCTATTTTTTTATTTTTTTTTACATAAGTAAAAAGTGACCTTTCCCCATCTGGCATGGTGGTGTGCCTCGAGATTTTTTTCATGACACAAGTGTGCCTTTGCCCAAAAAAGGTTGGGAAACACTGACATAGACAAAGAATTGTATGGTCTCTGGGATTGCTCAGTCCGCATTGCACTGTCAAGTGACAACCATGGAGGGCAGTCAAGTTATAATGACTGGAGAACTAGGGGGCTAAAGGGCTGAATGTATATAATAGTGAAAACTTTAACAGCAATTGCTATACACCCTGGTACTTCACTTTTGGAAAAAGAGATGCGAGAGCTCAACCCTGGCCAGGGAAAGGGGACACGGACAGACGGACCGAAGGACACACACCCTACTCTGAATTGGAAGGTCTTCTTTTTTTATTTGAATATTTAATTGGGTATGTGTACTACCTAGCAGTTCGAAAGCACCCTTAAGTGCAAGTAGATAAATAAAGGTAAAGGTAAAGGTACCCCTGCCCGTACGGGCCAGTCTTGACAGACTCTAGGGTTGTGCGCCCATCTCACTCTATAGGCCGGGGGCCAGCGCTGTCCGGAGACACTTCCGGGTCACGTGGCCAGCGTGACAAGCTGCATCTGGCGAGCCAGCGCAGCACACGGAACGCCGTTTACCTTCCCGCCAGTAAGTGGTCCCTATTTATCTACTTGCACCCGGAGGTGCTTTCAAACTGCTAGGTTGGCAGGCGCTGGAACCGAGCAACGGGAGCGCACCCCGCCGCGGGGATTCGAACCGCCGACCTTTCGATCGGCAAGCCCTAGGCGCTGAGGCTTTTACCCACAGCGCCACCCACGTCCCCAAGTAGATAAATAGGAACCACTTTATAGTGGGAAGGTAAACGGCGTTTCCGTGTGCTGCGCTGGTGCTGGCTCGCCAGAGCAGCTTCGTCACGCTGGCCACGTGACCCGGAAGTGTCTCCGGACAGTGCTGGCCCCCGGCCTCTTAAGTGATATGAGCCACAACCCTAGAGTCGGACACGACTGGCCCGTACGGGCAGGGGTACCTTTACCTTTACCGTTATGGCCTGCACCAGAACCTCTAAGCAGCTTACGAAAACACAGAGAATCACAAATACAAAAGTTAATACACATGATTATAACTCAAAAACAACCACCAAGCCCCTCTGTTAAACAAAATCCCCCAATGATTTTGCTCCATTCTCCATGACCTCCATCTCAGTGCTGACTGCTTTCTTTTAAGTGCTTAGGAACTGTGCCCTTGCAGCACAACATCTTGACAGCGGGGTGGGCACTGAATCCATTTCTCCTAGATTATATTAATTTTATGTCCTCTTTTTACTCCAGCACTCTGCCTCTTATATTCAGATTCAGTCTTCCTCTCCAAAACATCTCTTGGTAATGCTTAGCTCATTTCTCTGGCCACTTTCATCTCTTCCATCATCATCTCCTCAGGCTTTTAGTGTGACTTTTATTAATGCGCCTGCTCCAGCCTTTTTATCTTACTGCATGCTCTAGACATTGTTTACAAATTACTTCTTCACTTTGTGCCTACTCTCGCTCCTTTTTCTCCACTGTGTCTTTCAGCTCCCCTTTCCCAATTTGACCCCTCGATCTCTCAGCTCTCTTATTTTTCCACATAACTTGCATGTCTCATTCATATCGCTGCATGCCGCCCTAATCTCTAAGCGGTGTGAAATTCAAGGGGTTAAAGGTGCTTACCTTTGTGTTTCCTTTGAAATGAGGGACTCTGGAGACTGTGGTGTCTTTTCGATAGAAGGCTTATTTACACATATATACAACCTGAGCCTACGATGGAGGGGTTCACAGCATTATCACCCCAAGAGAGGACCTTGCTTCCCTCAAAGCCACAGCCTTGGATTCCAACAGAAATCAGGCATGGCTATGTCTCCCAGATGCACCACCTGCCAGCATCTAGCTTCTAGCTCACATAATTCAACTCTCAACTCTGGCCTTTGTCTTTCTAACTATGACTTCCTTTGTCACCTTAATGGCCCATGCTTAGAGGACCATTACCTTACCAGGAAAGTAGCCTAGCTGTTTCAGGAACTGAATAAACCAGTATTTATTAACTGTGAGTGCCTTTAAGGAATACTTTAGTTGCTGCAGAAAGCACTCTATAAGACCTGCATTCCTCAGCTGACTTTCATGTTTCTCTGCCTCCACCCCCACTGACTTATTCCAGAAAAGAAAGGGAGAGATTTATTAATTGACTAAGGATGTCAGGCTTTAACAGGAAAGCCAAAAGATAGAAAATATGACTCATATTAGCCTGGGTACTGCCTTTCCAAGGTAAAGATAGGATCGCTCTGGCTTCCTGCACAAGCACTTAATTATTTTTGTTTTTGTGGGGAGGGAGCGCTGTGGTCTAAACCACAGAGCCTAGGGCTTGCCGATCAGAAGGTCGGTGGTTCGAATCCCCGCGATGGGTTGAGTTCCTGTTGCTCGGCCCCAGCTCCTGCCCACCTAGCAGTTCGAAAGCACGTCAAAGTGCAAGTAGATAAAAAGGTACCGCTCTGACGGGAAGGTAAACAACGTTTCCGTGAGCTGCTCTGGTTTGCCAGAAGCGGCTTAGTCAAGCTGGCCACATGACCCGGAAGCTGTATGCTGGCTCCCTTGGCCAATAAAGCGAGATGAGCGCCGCAACCCCAGAGTTGTTCGCGACTGGATCTAACCATCAGGGGTCCCTTTACCTTTTAGGCATGTGTACAGTTCCTTAAGATGCCAAAACAGTCATAGCCATGCATAAATTGGAGGTATCGGCAAATGCAGAGGAACCCCAAAGTTTGCAGAAGTACCACAAAAGGGGAAAAAAAATCTTGAGGGAAGAAACCCAGGAGCAGCCCAGTGAGGTACTGACTCAACTGTTTGGGGGGGGGATGGAAAACCAGAGTAGCACAGGGGAGACATGCCTGATGGACTGGAACAAGGAATGGCAGGGCCTCCACAAATTCTGTTAGTTGGGGCTGGCCCACCCCTGAGGCAAGGTGAGGCAACCACCTCAAGTGGCAGGATCCACAGGGGCAGCTGATCCCTATGCTGATTATTGCTGATGTACATACTCAGTCACCCCTTCTTTCCTAGCTGGGAGGTGGGGCACCACTTTGTGGTTTGCCTGAGGTGCCAAAATATCTTGGGCCAGCCCTGATTACAAGTCCCACTTACTACAATTAGGATCAGTCTTAAATGACACACACTGTTGATTTGCCACCAGGTTTCCATCAAGTCGATTATTTTCTACAATTCTATTTTTAATACTCAAACCTGGTTCCTAAAAATATGCTAGGACAACTGAAAAAAACAAAAAACAGGCAGTTTGCCCACATGAACTGCATGATGTGGGGCTCATCAGCTCCTGTGAGATTATAGTCTCCTCTTTGGGGGGGGGAACCCTACAACCTACAGTTTTACTTTTGTTGTAAGGAGAATCATAAACTCATGAAAGTTTGCTCTGCATGTTATCCCCTCATATGAAGACCCCACTTGTATGAACAGGTTTTTTTTTTTTTAAAAAAGGGTAAGACAGTTCCCAGCATATCACCAGAACAGACTTTCAGATATTATACATCAGCACACAATAAACACACCACTCTAGCTGACATATTTAATTGGCCAAGCTGTCAATTTAGGAATTAAAAACAAATCTCACTGTCAGTTTATACCACAACTAAAGGGTTGGGTTTTCTGGGTTTTTTGGGGGGAATAGGCTGCTATCTATCAAGTCCGCATTAAAGTCTCTTTATATTGTTGCCAGATTTGAACAGTCTTGATCATTATTCTTTCCCCTGCTCATTATGCAAAAAGAATAAAGTTGATTTGAGTGCCTTTTTATGTATTAATCTGCCGTTGCATATGAAATTGCTAGGATGCAATAGGGACACTTTACATTCCATGTACCTCACTTTATGCAGTATTTTGCTCTAAATCCTGGAGACAGAGATTTAAATCATCTTGTTACTACTCAAGGTTTCCCATGAGAGAAGCCTAAATTCCCTAGCAAATTATGCCTCTGATTTAGTTCAGTTAATCTTGACCCTTCTTACCATTTTGTTTCTTCAGGCAATTGTTGGCATTCTAATGAACAAATGTTTTAAGAAGTTGTTTACACCATTATCAACATTACAAGTATGGCTTTACAATCCAGTTTCCATTCCCTGCTGCTCTAAAATATAAGGAAAGAGTTGCAAGTCAATTATCTTTTTAGACTTTAAAGTTCATCTTTTTCTCCCAACAGCTACATCAATGGTACATATTTCCTATTTAACTTGAGAGATCTTATTTGGCTTATATTGCCTAAAAAGAGATATTAAACTTGTCTCTAATAGTAGTGGCATGTTCCTTACCTTGTTCCAAGACTCCCAGGACAGTAACAGTGGCCAGCAAGGCTATCTGATGCAGCATGCTGGATCTTGAAACTGCAAGACAAAAGCGAGACAGCTACAGAGCTACACAAACTTTGAAGCTATGACTTTTCTGCTCCTTAATATATGCCCACAGTGGCTGTCAATATAATCAGACAGCACAACCCTCCATTTCCTCTTCCAAAGGGCTGGTTAGTTAACTCACTGCTTGCTGGATGGTTTTGACTGGATCCCGTCAACAGTGGTACTATTGAAACAGTCTGAGCTTCATTTACCTATTCAATAGTCTATTGTTAAGATGTGGGCACTTCACAATGGCTGAATACCTAGCCTTTTACAATAAGCACTATATGCACCACTTCAGCCATGGTATGATAAGAATTAGTGATATTTTCTTTTCTTTTCTTTTCTTTTCTTTTCTTTTAAATGTCATTCAGTTTTGAGACCAAATATTTCTTTTTGGACATTTACTTGCTCACTAGTGAAATACTGAACCAATGTGAACAGCAGATGACCACTTCAATGACCAACTTTTGTTTTCTTGCTAGCTAAAGCAATGAAAATTAGAAACCGTGTGCTTTTGGAGTAAAGCAAAAACACAGCATATACACATTTGATTAAGCAGATATAGTCACACTGCTTCCTTCCTATGAGTGACTTGCGAACAGATGAGAATGAGTGACATCTTGTGAGCACAGGTGCATTTACACAGTTTAATCCAATTTGCCCTCTGGACAGTCATCTCAGATTGACTCACATCCCAAAGTTGGTTAGGTCTTCCTTTTCCAATTATACTGGCTGTGCCTGTACATGCAAGGTTTTTAGGTATGCAAGGTTTTTCTTAAAAAGTCAAGAAAACTTATTTCCTGGTCCAGGCCATCATGGGCCTATTTCTTTTCCCTTCCTGATCACTTTGTCTGAAAGGCAGCATTGGCTGCTGGGCCCATTCATGTCTTATGGGGCCTTGGGCAGGACCTTCTGGTGGCAATGACAGGCAGAAGCAACAGTGCCCCAACTACTGCTCTGGGCAGTATTAGGCAGTCACCATCATAAATGCCCCACAACTGAGAATCCTGTGGCCCTCCAAATATTCTTGGACTCCAACTCCTATTTGCCCTAGAGCCAGCATCCCCGCTCTGCCCACCAGTGAACTACTGGGCTCCCTTCAAAGTGTTAGCATCAGTGTATCAAGTCCTAATTGACTTGGAACCAGAGTGCTTAAAAAAGCCCCTCCATCAATATCAACAATCTTGGGACCTAGAATCAACAGGAGAAGCCCTGTTGGTGCTGCCTGCTTTGTGGAGGAAACAGTGGATCAGCAGGTTTGCTCGCTGCCACTTTGGGCCATCTTCCTTATCATTGCTCTGCTCCTCCTGCATCCTAATTTGGGCGGTGGCAGAAGCAGCAGGAGTGGATTTCCAGGCTAGACAGGAGGAGGAAGGCGGTGAGCAGTGGTCCCAACCAGCCAGATTGGAGATATGGCCTTCTACTGCACATGGGGTACTTCAATCAGCGCTTCATTGGCTAGAGCCTCAATGCACTTATTCAGCTTGATGTTGACAGTTTCACCAAAAAGGTGCTTGTGCTCCTTTGAACTTTGCGGTCCTGGACTGTTTACATGGATCTTGTTTTATGAGTTGTTGTGAATTATCCAGAAACGGGCATCTTTCCTGTCTGTTTATTTGAGGAACATAACTTGTGAAGCCTGATCTGCCCTGAGGCTCAAATGTAAAGGCAGTAGAATTGCATTGGATGTGAAATGTAGCACATCTTTTTGCTTGAGGGAGGAAAAATCTGAAAGCTGTAAGCTTCCTGGAACCTAGAGCCCAAGATCAGTATGATAAGAAACAGCTTTATACGACTGGGAGAAAGGCAAACAAAGTGCTGCTACTCAAGAGGAAGCTTCTTCTTACCCGTCACATGCTCTCTCGATTTTATTTCCAGAGGACCATCTCCCCACACCTAGTTGCCAGAGGTGTCGTGGAACTGTGGGTCCAGGTGATCAGCAATCAATACCTTCCACAGCCTCGATATGTCTGTTTTGTAGTTGCACAAGCAGGTACCCATTCTTCTGTATGGCCTTCCTCAACTACTCCTTGAATGTCACCCAGGACTGTACCGTGTGAAGCATGTTGTTTCCACCATGTAGGGTGATTGGGCTGTCAGGTTTGCTTCCTAGCGGTTCTTCTGTTTATTTAAAATATTTATAAACCATCCTTCCTCCAAAGGAATTCAGGGCAATGTACATCAAACAAAAAATCATAATACTAAAAAGAAATAGCAGCAACTCATTAAAACACCAATTCAAATATTCTTGCTGAGGATTAAATGTCCCACCGTCAATCTACGAAACTATGGAAAAATAGAAATGTATTCAGTTGACACCTTTAGGCCAACAATAATGGCATACATTTGTAGGAGGATCGTTCCAAAGTTTCAGTCCTACCAAGGAGGCCTTTCTATATACAACCACCCTCCCCAAAATCCAAGTGGGGACTACAAGAAGAACTGCTGCCACCTGATTTTAAGGAGCAGGTTAGCTGGTAATGGAAGAGGCACTCCTGCAGGTATTTGGGTCCCAAGCTATTTAGGGCTTTGTAAGCCATTGTTAATACCTTAATGCAAACTCAACTGCACATCTCCTACCTGATCAATGGACATGGAGATTGCCCTGGGGAGGGGAACCTGGAAGAATGTGTAGATGCTGTTGATGTGTTCTGCTCCTCTTATTTTGCAGCAGTCCCCTGTAGTGCAGACAGATGATAGTGCATGGAATGTTGTAGCAACCTTTGAACATCCTCCATCTCTCCCCAACCAATCACTTTGCATTACTTGCTGTTGATAAGGTATTTGCCATTGTCATTTAAGTTGGGCTCTCATACAAAGGAGGACACTTGCCAGCCATGCTTGCTGTGCTCCCTAATTTGTCAGCATCTAGCATGGCCGCAGCAGTAGGTGCCACCTAGATGTGAAGAAATGGATGTGACATTACTTTATTATCGCCAGAAGAAAAGGAAGTGGCCTTCATAGTTGTGGCAGTGGTGGTTTGCGGCTGCTTCAGAAGGAAATTGTTTTCCAGAACAAGGTGCTGGAGCCAGTGTGGTGTAGTGGTTAAGAGCGGTAGACTCGTAATCTGGGGAACCGGGTTCACATCTCCACTCCTCCACATGCAGCTGCTGGGTGACCTTGGGCCAGTCACACTTCTTTGAAGTCTCTCAGCCCCAGTCACCTCACAGAGTGTTTGTTGTGGGGGAGGAAGGGAAAGGAGAATGTTAGCCGCTTTGAGACTCCTTCAGGTAGTGATAAAGCAGGATATCAAATCCAAACTCTTCTGCTGTAGAAGATACTGTTCTGTTGTTTTCTGAGTTTTAGATACAACTGGATGTAGAATAGCAGCAGACATTATCTCAATCAGGGACACTTCAACCATGGCTGACGCCACATCCACATCAAGTGGCTCTTCTAGATCCTCACCTCAAATTTAGTGGAGACTGATTAGAATGCTTCAACTATTCATATACTGCCCTTACAGCCCTCCTTTTATTGCAGAACACTGCACAGGTTCAGATGCTGTGCTTGATGCCAGTGGAGTATGGCTGCTGTGGTCTTCTTATTCAGGAGGACACCACTAGTGTAGAAGGGGAGGAGACGCTTAATGCACCTGCACTTCTCCAATGATGCCCTTATATGCTTCATTGAGATTCTCACTGCGTCAGCAAAAAAGGACAATGAATGATCCAAAAGTTTAACGGATATATTTTCAGTATAAACACACTTCTGTTGTGATTCCTGCACTGCTGGGCTTGACCATGTCATCTTGGTGGCTGAGTAATAGTGCAAATATCACCACCCATGACTTCAAAAATGACTGGATGCAATTACCTGGGAAATAATGTGTGGTTCTTTTTGAAAATTTGGGATAACTCCCATTGAACATGCTGGAACTTAATGGTGTGACTGAGTTGGGCAGGCATAGAGGGCATCACTACTGTCGATCCCTGAAGATAAAGGACTGTTCATACATCTCCATTTCTCTGCCATCTATAACTTACTTTTTCATATGTCCAAGCAGCCAACAAGGTCTCTACCCTTTTCCTGCCATCCCAGGCTGTGCCCTCCTGCTGTTCCTCTCTGCCTCCTATCACACTGTCGGGGGGGGGGGAATCATTTCCTTTCTCTTTCTCTCTCTCTCTCTCTCTCTCTCTCCCATTCTGTGTCTTACACACACACACTCCTCTGACCAATGCATAAACATTCTGGATAGTTAAAGACATTGACCTATCAGTACAGCAGCATACATGGTTAAATGAGTCCACCTTGCTGCTGCTGCTGCTCCCCCAAAATAAACATTCCTATCTGGATTCTGGGCTCCAGAATTGCTCTGCCTTGACCTCCAAAATAAAACTTGTGCAACTCTTGCTATTCTCTGCACTACCCCAGACCACCCTCAGTCCTTCCTTTTCTATATCTGCTCCAGCAGCCAAGATTTCCCCCTCACTTCCACCAGCTGTCCCGGGCCACACATCAATAGTCATAAGCAAGCTGTTCACAATGCATTTTTCAGGTATTATGAATGCCTTGATAGATTATCACAGTAAGAAAATACTGCACACAGATTGGCAAAATGAGTGCCAAGCACAAGTCAAGCGTTAAAACAAAATCCAGGGAATGCAAATCACAATTCTTACTTGAAAAGGCTTTTTCAAGAGTGGTCTTTGTTTGTGTGCTCTCATGCATGTGCGGAGGAAGGAAATGTAAAAACAAATCATCAGATGGTATTGATGATGCAGGGATAGATTTTCAAATAGCAAATCTGCAGCAGTAAAAAAAACGGTATTGAAGATTATACTTGAACACAAATCTTTTTTTGAAATGTCTAATGTACTTTCTTAAAGCACTTATTGAAGCTTATAGCAATGTGAAAACTTTAGATATCTCATAGAAATAGGAGGCAATATCAAAATCAGAGTAAACCTATTGATTTAAATAAGTCTGCTCTAAGTATGACTAATACCGGATGTCACCCAGTGTATAGTTTAACTGGAGGCAAGTGAAGAACACAAGACTTATTTGAAATATATTTTCATATTAAAATCCTCCTGCTCCGTTTCATTTTTTCCCACTAAAGGAGCTGATAAAAAATGGAATTTGCAGATGTATTCAAATTACATTTGCTTAGAAATCCCACAGGATTCAATAATGCAGCTCAGCAAGGTGTGCAGATGACTACAGTATTTTTCTGCAAGCCCTGTGCACTGAGGGATGGAAGTGAAACAAGAACTTATGTCTTGCTTGCTGATCTCTGAACCATCTAGGGTGCAGGTCTGATATCAGAATACTATCAAAAATCTGTGGTAACTAAGGTAATATTTTCCAAGGCGTTTATAATGCGTTCTCCCTAGGAAATACAAAAGGAATTAAAAAATGTGTGTGTGGAAAAGTGACCCAGTATCCTCCTGAGTTTTAAATCTACTTTAGATTTTTTTTCACCTATGTTGAAACACATTCCAAAATAATTCTAAAAGTCATGACACCTGCGAGGATTATTCCATTTTTCATAGCTCAATAACTTAAGATGGCAGAAGAGACTAGAGTCAGGCTCTCTGTCCAACACCCTGCAGCCAACTATACAGCCATGAACTCTAGAGAAACCTGCACGTGTGCTTTTTAGCAAGTGGATCCATGGCAAATGGGGCTATAAAGTCTCTTCTGAATGCCAAAGGACAAGTTGCTACTCCACAACTTCATGGTGTGATTCTCATGAGGGTCCTTAAGGCATCGCAGCCCAAACTTTCTTAAGATCCTTGCCATCTCTGTCAGTTTGTGGCCAGTATGTTGCACCGCTCTTCCACCACCAGAAAAAGCAGCTCTTTTTAGCATCTTGCACTGCAGTGTTTAAAACCGTAAGAGAAACACACAGCTAAAAGTTGCATCTCTACTGGCCTCCTAATTTAATATACAACAGATGGCTGAACAAAGTTTGGAAAATCATTTGGCAAGACCCGAAGTGAGAAACTGGTGCAAAGGTTATTGATACAGTAGAGAAGCGATGGGAAACCTAATGCCTATGGGCCGAAGTCCAGGCTCCCTATCTAATCCTTAAAGACTCTCCACAGACCACAAGACTCTCTGCTCAGACCGTGCTCTTCGCCAGCCCTATTCCACCCCACCCCAAAGTGGCTTTGCCTGTTCGGAATGTGGCTAGATGGAGAAGTGGATGTGCAGATGTAGAGAAACACCTGACTTCTGAACGGCTAGGATGCAGCTTAGAGCAGCTTACATTTGTTGCTCTGCTCACTTTGGTCTCTGGCCCTTCCCACCAGTTGCATACAGCCCCTGGCTGCCCAGGAAGGAAGGGGAAATGCCCTATGAATGAAAAAGATTCCTCCGTCCTGTGCTGGAGCATCCATGTACAAAGTATCTCAAACCAAGAAGTGTAACCCCAATCCCAATCCCAAGACCCTGACGCAACCCCAAGATCCCTCTGATTTAGCAGCAGCAAAAAGTGGGGGGAAGTAGACCCTGTTTAAACATCTCCATCCAGCCCAGAACCCTGATGGGAATGGGAATTGCCGCTTCCCCAGTCACTCAGATTAATCATTTGATGAGCATAGAAGGGGCAATAACCACACCTCTTCAGCTGGTCTGCACAGATCAGCTGAGGAGTGGGAGCTCTGTGTGGCTGGGTCCATTCCATGTGTGTACATGCAGGTGATGGCATCCATCACTGGCATACAGACCCAGGCGAGTTAAACAAGGGTGAAAGTGGCCCTAAAGCCAAAGGAGGTTAGCAACCCTTATCTAATAATTGCACATGTCTTTGTAGAGTGACAGTCTTTGTAGAGTCTTTGTTGAGTGATAAAGCACACAAGTAAGTATCTTAAACGGAACAGTCTCCCCCCCCCTGAGTGATACTGCATCAATTAGGGGTTCAGACTAGAATATGAATATTCTGTAACCACAAAAAAGATTAAAATAGACTCTCAAGCTAAAAGCACAATTGATTTCTGCAAAAGATCTGCACTAGAACTGTGAAAATCGCTGATTCAGCTTGGATGGACTGATAGAAGTCAGAAATACTTTATTTTTGTTCTGATGCAAAACATGATTCTTCAGTTTGAAAGGGGAAACAGATAAAAGTTACTTACCATGCAAAGCGCTGGCTGCTATCATTCTGTGGTCTCTGCATTTGTCATGCGAACCAGTAGCCTGCAAAGTAAGTTTTCTTGGAAAGGAGCAGAAGAACATTTTATGCAAAAGAACAACACACAATTGTACATGGGATTTTACTCTAACCTATACACAATAGCACATTAACACCTATACACTCCTCAGACATTAACATTTTAGGTGTATAGTAATCCCTCGTTTTATGTGCATTTGAATTGTGCAGTTTCAACAATATGCAGTTGAAGGTGGCCTGGTTGAAATTGCTCAAGTCAAGTCACAAGCAAGGTTGAGAGCTTAAAGGTTCTTTTTGCACCATGTAACCCTAAGCAGACCTGACACAAAAGAGCATTTAAGCTGCCTACCATGCTTTTGTGTGAGTACTTCGATTTCTCTCTCTCTCTCTCCCTCACCCGTTAGCCATAGAGTGGCTCCAAGGGTTTGAGAGTATATGCAATTTTTCATGTATGCATGGAATACTTGAAACTGAGCCTATGCAGAAAATGAGGGATTATTGTACTTAATAACCGGGGTTCTCCCAGACTTGGTACTATCCATGAAGGTGCAAAGAGCATCAGTGACTAGGAGCGCCTTTTATCAATTCTGGATGATTCACCTGCTGCACCGCCATCTCGATAAAGCAGATATTGCCACAATAATTCATCCCCTCATTACAGGCAGACTAGATTACTGATAACACACACTATGTGGGGCTGCTTTTGAAGACTATCTGGAAGCTTCAGCTGGTTAAAAATGCATCTGTCCAGTTGCTTGGAATATTTAATTGTGATTCTGTACTGCTACTGTTATTACTTTTAAAGCTCTAAATGGCTTGGGACCAGGGAGACCCATATGAATTTTCCTGACCTTGAAGACCCAGGGTGAGGGACCACTAGCATGGTCTATTAGGCTGGCAGGTACAAACGTTTTACTTTAAGGTGGTCAAGTAAATAAAAAGAGGTGGCCCAATTGTTATGGCACTCCCTCCTGTGGGAAGTGTGCTTATTGCTGTTTGTGAAATTACTTTTTCCCATTATTTTATGATGTGAACTGCCTTGAAAGGGCTATATAGCCCTGAAAGGCATTACATAAATGCCTACATAAATAAAACAAGAAGAATGTAAACAAATATACACCATACAGGTTAACTCTGTAGCAATCCCGGAGTTTGCCTTTTCAAAATGAATGAAATGGCCCTTAAAGAGCTTAGAGCAACATACCACCTTCTTTCCAGTGTGTTAATGTTTTTTTATAATGTTTTCTAGAATGTAACTTGCATGTCTCCCTAGTGAAAAATGATGTTAAGAAAATGCCTGTTTTGCAATTTCCTGTTAAGGTAAGTGAAGCCTATATACATATACATATACACATACACAGGGGACGCGGGTGGCGCTGTGGGTAAAACCTCATCGCCTAGGACTTGCCGATCGCATGGTCGGTGGTTTGAATCCCCGCAGCGGGGTGCGCTCCCGTCGTTTGGTCCCAGCGCCTGCCAACCTAGCAGTTCGAAAGCACCCCCGGGTGCAAGTAGATAAATAGGGACCGCTTACCAGCAGGAAGGTAAACGGCGTTTCGTGTGCTGCGCTGGCTCGCCAGATGCAGCTTGTCACGCTGGCCACGTGACCCGGAAGTGTCTGCGGACAGCGCTGGCTCCCGGCCTATAGAGTGAGATGAGCGCACAACCCTAGAGTCTGGCAAGACTGGCCCGAACGGGCAGGGGTACCTTTACCTTTTATACACATACACATTCCTATAGACAGATAGATATATCATTTTGGATGTTTTCCAATATACAAATCTGTTGAACATTTTCATTTCCTCTGTGATTAACAAAACCTAACATTGTATGCTGAATGTCTACAAGTGTCAAAAAGGTCAACAATTCAAAATGGTGAAAAATAGCTTGTTTCCTATATAACAACTCTTCATGTTAAAGGGTACCAAAATGTGATCAGAAATAAATGGGTAACATTAGTAAAAGCTTTTTCTACCTATTATTGAAATACTAAACAACAACAACAACAACAGCGGTCCTGACTTTCAAACATATTTTAGTTCTGTCTTTCAATATTAGGGTTAGTTCAAGAAAAAGGAGAGAGTTAAGTTTGTTTTCTGCCAGATAAAAGGAACGAGAATTTTTAAAATCAGTCTCCACAGCAAAGCTAAACTATATGTAGTTCAGGTGATGCTTCAGAAAACACGACTATTTGTTTAATACACTAGCAAAATATTTATTTTTTATAATGACGTAACAGAAGTGAAATATTTCTTTTTGGTGTGCCACAGTAATTGTAGTTAAAGAAAATAAATGGATTAATGGGCTCTTTATACATTTCAATGACAAAAAAGGTTAGCATCAAATTTGAACTGTTCATTTAAACAAATGTAAAATTTATCATAACCACCCCCGACACACACACACACACGCACGCACATATTATATATATATATATATATTTAAAGAATTATAGTTTTAAAATCTATAAAAAGTAAAAAATATACACTCAGATCTAACTCTTATTCAATCTTTAATATAAAACTGTAAACATTTATTTACACACAAAAAATGTGTAGTATAGAAAACTGAGCACCCTTTTCGATTCAGTTGTAGGGGGTTTGGAAGGCAGTGGATGTTGAACACCTTTTCACCTGTCCATGACCACAGTATATAAATAAAGCTGAGGCAGCAGGCTAGGTAAAGCTCAGGGGAGCCACATCTTATTGCTCTAAGCTGCAGCAAATGCAAAGCTCAAGTGCATATTCATTTATGAACTGCTACAAGTGGCTGAAGGGCAGCACTTAGCCCTTCCCCACCCAGCCTCCATACTCAATTATGACTGCCAAAAATATTCTAGGCCATTCTGCTTAAAACTGTATCTGAACAAAGTTAAACAACGTATGCCCACAGCTGAAAAAGACATTAGCATTTTACTGGACATCAAAATCTGATTGCAGCATTAGAAACACAAGGGGTTTCATTTTCTTTTGACCTAAATTATATTTAGGAGATCCAACTAGAATTTAGTATTATTTAATTCCTTAAAACCTGCTATTTTTCAGTGTGCCTGAGGGAGAGGAAAAAATCAGCAGAACCCAGACAATTAAAAAACTATGAGGCTCCAAACACCTCCAATAAGAAAAGGAAGGCACGCTGGTGCAAAATTTAAAACTGTTTATAAGCCAAGTTCAATTATTTCCATACCTAACCCCTCTCCCTGCCCCTGCATGTGTTCCCTGGCCAAAAAAAGCTATAGAGATTAAAAGATATTCTGGTGACATTTTGGACCAATTTTTTTTTAATAAACCGAGCTCACAAACAATTTCACTCACTCGCTGACTTGTCGAAAATATTAGTAAATTTAACTCTAATCTAATTTACTTATAGTATCAGTCATACCAAGGTTTCATTCATTAAAATGAGCCGCCTCTTAGAAAATGGTGTTTTAAAAATATACAAATAATGTGATTTGCTTCAGTTTGGACATTCAGCAGTAAAACCATTCATCAACATGCAGCTTCCACAATTTAACCCCCATCAACAGTCCATCAAGATACAATACAAAAATCTGTTTAGCATGGCATACATAACTACTCATGGGTGGCAAGCATATAAAACAGAACTAATATCCATGTGTAATTTGGGAAAAGATTAAATAAAAGTAGTGTTAAAGCGGATTTTTTTTCCAAAGTGCACATCTGAGAAAAACACTGCAGATACAGTAAAATATTTCCTTCCTATGGTTCCACTGTTGTATCCCTTATCCGTTTCCCTGTCTAAAATATCCCAAACTCAAATCTTCACACTTTTCTTGTGTAGAGATGCTCCTGAATAGGCCTGAAGAAAATTCTTTGATTCTCAGTGACAGGTGTGATGAATTAAGGAGGTAAACAGTCCTGTTCATTAAAGAACAAAACCAGACCCAGAGTAGGGAGCAGAGGTATCTGTGCATCTAAAACAACTTTCAAATTTATTACCTTTATAAACGAAAGGTTAAGGCAAAAGGTGGTTTGTTGGCAAGTAGAAGAATTTTTGGTAACCTGTTAAGAACAATTCTCTCTTTTCCTTGCCCTGCATGGGACCGTCCCTACATATGTATGAAGGGGTCTCCATGAACCGTGATGAAATAGCAGCATCTGCTTCACTGGAGATTAGTCTACATATTTCTAAAGAGATTAAATCACTAAAAAAAATTTCCCCAAAATATGGGGGCTCTCAGAATGGAAGAACCTTTAATAAAGTATTACGCTTCCCCGGGCTCTCTGTGCCATTATTGCAAAGTTTTTCAGGTTAGTAACAGTTTCCAAGGCACAAAACTTCCTTCACTTGCTTGACCAAAAGTAACAGATCCTGTTCTCATTGGTACAGCCTATGTGTGGCAACAAAAGATTGCTAATTATAAATGCCCTCTGAATCCAAGAGAAGAAATAAGCTGTGATCAACCCAACGTTCTCATTTAATGGATGCTAAAAAGGAGATAGAAAAAGTGCACACTTGATTTTAAGCTGATTCTCCAATTAAAAAAAGTAATCATCAAAAAACCAAGAGCTCAGTCTTCCCCCACAGCAGAGTGCAAATTGCTTAGCTTAGTAAGCCATAAGCTATTTAAGGATGAGGTCCCCAGTTTAGGGCTCTAGCAACCTACTGCTGGACAAGTTTTAACACTCAAAGATCTTCAGCACAGAAAGCCATCAGCTATTATTATTGTGAACTCTCATATCTTGCTTGCCAAGTATCACTAGAGACTAGAAGAACGACTTCTCAAACTAGAGTAGATTTTGCAAAGAAAGTGTTGCACAATCTTTCCTCAGAAAAAGGTCGCAGAGTGTTAACTTTCACTAGTTTGCAGGTCAAGTTAGAATCAAGAAACCTGTCAAGTACTAGTTGTAGAAACGATTGCCTTAACACTGAGTATTTTGAGTCTTCCTTGCTGGCTTACTTTCTGAATCACCACAGCATGGTTCGCATTTAAACCTTCAACTGAAAAACACTGTTAAAATTGAAACTTCTGAAGGGCTGGCTGGGATGCACACCAAACTGACCAGGACTGTTTCCATGAGCAGTGTTCCAGGCCCACTACAAAAATGAGAATGTTATATCCTATCAAATTGGGGCATACTTCTCATGCTGTTAGACCCAGAAGGGAGCAGCTCCAATACATTCCCACTAGTGCCTGTGAATTTTCTCAATTCCACAGGTATTTGGTCCAAAGATAGTTGTAATTAAAAATAAAAGATTGGGGGGGGAATCCCCAAACCTCTTTTTAATGATTCCCTAACAACTCATCCAAGTCATTCATCCATTCTTCTGAAGTCCTGTTTTTCAACAAAGTGTCTATAAGATCTGTATCCCCAGTTAAGTTCGGCAGTCCATTACTACCAGATGGGTTGCTGTAGGCAAAGGGCAGCTCCTGACTGGGTGTCCTCACTGGATAACCTTGACTACAATGCAGATTGGCTCTGTTAGGCAGTTGCTGATTTTGATTCTGGCTGAAAGAAGTCATATCTGGGACACCTTGATTCATGCCTGGCAAGACCTGCTGTGATGGGACTGCCTGCTGGGTAGGAGGGTTTGTCCTCTGCTGGGCACTTATAGATGACAACATCTGTCCAGAGACAGCAGAGTTCATGGACGTCATCGGCCTGCTGGTGTTGAGGCTTACCTGAGGCATTCCTTGCGCAAACTGCTGATTGGTCAACTTTAGGTGAGTCTGCTGCATATGGAAAGTGGAGTTGGCAGTAAATGTCCCTAAACCACCGTTCCCTTGTGCCTGGTTGTTCATATTTGACATACCTTGATGCTGCCATGATTGATTTTGGACCCCAATAGATGTTGGCATCCTTGCCATTTGTGGCTTGGATAGGTTGGGATTCAGTGCTCCTTTACTGTGCTGCTGAGAAATGCTGGCAGTTCCTAGGGTGCTCTGTCCATATCCAGCAGGAAGAGCAGCGCCCTGTGCCAAACTGGGTTGTCTTTGCATTTGTGGCTGTCCATTGGCACTTGGATTTGCATGCTGTGGAACCATCTGTGTCATACCAGATGCCATGTTGTACAAGGTACCTCGCTGAATGCTCTGCAAACTAGGATACTGAGTTACTCCTCGATCTTGCTGATTGCTGCTTGAGGAGACAGAACTGTGTCCTGTGCCAATCTGGATCATATTCTGAGTCTGAGAAAACATGCGTGGACTACTGGAGTTAGACTGGCCTAAATTATTTATCCCTGCCATCGCTGGAGATGAGCCTATAACACAAAACGAGAGTTTCAACATTTATAAAAACTAAGCAGAACATACCCTCAGTTTAGGTGCAACATTACACATATACTGCAGCATGCAACATTTTGTAGCTGTATTTAGGACTCATTGTCTTGAACCTTGAGAAGTGCCAGCAGAAGGTGACTTTCCTGCCACTGCTACCTCCCCCCAGCAGCCCCATGAAAAACCTCTCTTAAGAGTTAGGGGATCCTCTTGAATAGGGTGGTATTTGCAGGGGGATGAGGGCAATCACTAAAATTGGGTGGTGGCACCTTTCACACATCACAAAGCTAGCAGCTAAGAACAGGAATAAGGACTGTTAATTAAACAGAATATTATGGTGCAAGGGCAGAATCACGACTGCCACCTATGTACTGTTCCAAATAAACCTATCTGAGCTGGCTACTTAAATTTAATGCAAACATAGGGTTGCTTGACACCGTCACATTCCTTCACACATGAGCCAAGCCACGCCTGACCGTGCATGTGCCCAAACAAGACAGTGTAATTGTAAACTGGATGATACATGGATAAAATCACAACAGCAGCTATTTTCTCAGCTGCTGCAATAACAGTAATTAGGCAAAATTACTAGAACACTGGGAGCACAACTTTGGCCGTATCAGAGAATGAAGAAGCTCTGAGACCAGGACAACCTGTACCATTATATATGTGTCTACTTCATTAGTGCTGCTATAAAGACTATAGCGAGGAAGAGGTTGTAGGGCAGAACAGGAGCACTATGCAAGTCTTGTTAACTGCCTAACAAGGGCGAGGAAAAAGAAAACAACAATGCATGAGGGTGAATTCAAATGAACCACTGATGCGGAAACCTCTGTCCTCATTCACAGCTGTCACTTGCACATATTGAAAAGCTAGCCAATCTGTGTTGGAAATTCAGAGTGAATATGCACTAACATGAAAATTACCATCACCACATGCAAAAATATGCCAATCCAGTTTGTCTCATCTGCCACTATCCTAGTACTGAGCCCTCCCAAAATTAACATACTTGATTTAATTGATAGATAGCAAGTAAAGAAGATTATCAGCTTACGTTTCTCTTTAGCAGTTCTACCAGTACTGAGAAAAAATTAATCCATCATTTGCACACTTCACAGTAGAAGTGATTCCTCTGTAACTTGTATGGATGCAATAGTTTGTTTGTTTGTTTGTTTGTTTGTTTGTTTTAAAAAAGGCCAAGCACTTAAATCCAGAGCATAAGATTATGAATTATGGCAGTAAAAGAACATTTTAAAGTTAACTAATGACCAAATCCATAGAGGCTGAAGACACTTTGCTTCTGCATACACCTCTCCTGCTTTCCAGCTAGTCTTTCACAAATAAATCCCACAGTCCTATTTACCTGTGAACTGTTGTTGATATGGATTCTGTGTCTGGTCTTGGTATTGAGGGGGCGGTCGTGTTAGATGCCTCTGGAGCTGTTGCTGTTGTTCCTGATGATGCCTTTGCTTTTCCTAAAACAGGGCAGATCCAAGACTGTAAGAACACACAGCCTAAACTTTGTCATAAACAATGCCTTAATATAAACAGCAATGTTGTATATAGGTTGATTGCTGTCTCAAGCAGTCTACAATCACGTTAATAACATCATAAAAACAATTAAAGAAAAAAATGCTACTGCTTAGTATGTAAGAAAATCAAGGCTGATGTATACACTAAAATAAAACATAGCAGAATATATCACAGAAGGTGCTAGAAAGGGAGTCATATCTATAAAACAATGAGCTCCACTCAATAATAAACTGACATTCCACTAGGCAAACTGCCTAGAAGAATTTGAGAACAGTTAAGCCTTTTTATCTAAAACAGAAGGGAATGTAGAATAACAGATTTTGCCTTTCACTGAAGTTCACAGATTTTTGTGCTGTAGTTCCTCTCTAGTAAAGGAAATGCGGTATTTTGAGGGACTCAACATCCACATTGCAATGCCTCCTCTCAAATAAATTTATTCAAGGGGAAGAATAGTGTGACATTTTAATCCTGAGGAGGTTCATTCATCATGTTCAAGTACAATGAAAACACTCCTTTGGCATTCCAGCAATACATTGCTGTACAGTGGTACCTTGGGTTACAGATGCTTCAGGTTACGTTTTTTCAGGTTACGGACGTGCCAAAACCCGGAAGTACCGGAACGAGTTACTTCTGGGGTTTCGGCGCTTGTGCAGAAGCACTAAATCACGCTTTGCGCATTCGCAGAAGCGCCAAATGATGTCACGAGGTTCCACTGTACCTTCATTTTAAATAAATATGGTAGTACAGTATACCAGAACCATTTTTACACTGCACTGTGGGGGCTAGAGAACAGAATCTGGCCAGATCTCCCCCCACCTCTCACAGGAACAATTTAACAAGTGGGCAGCACTGCCCTCCAGCTCATTATTTGATGTCACAATGTCATCAGGAGAACATTTTTTGTCCGTAAGGTCTGAAATCAAACTGCAACAAAGTGCCTTTCAAAACACTTCACAAGATGTGACAATCTGCTCATCAATGGATTTTGCAAAGCACTTTGCAAGAGGCTTATCAAGCCCTAACAATCAGCTGATTGGCGGGTCTTGCCAAGTGCTTTGTAGAGCTACTAAATACTTTTTTGTTTAGGCAAGCTTATCCAGACATGTAGAAGCTGCTGAGTGTTTTAATTTCATTTTAGTTTATTTATTTTATTTTTGAATGTTTTGGATACTTGTTTTTAACTGATCTTACTAATATTTATTGTTTTATTCTTTTTGTAAACCAGTTTGAGGTGTTATTACAATCCTTTTTTTCTAACAATTTTTTTTATTTTTGCAAACCTTGGGGATCCATTCAAGTCTGCTGTGTGTGCGGGGGAGGAGTTACCATTTTGGTTGCATAAGAATTTATATTTACCTCTGTGCTTTGTCAGGAGCTAATGAAAGATATCAGTGAGAGGAGAAAGGTGGTATGTGACTTTTTCTCTGTAATACGTGACAGTAATCCCCTCCATTTTTGTCTGTTTGCTTCTGGAGCAGGAAGAGTCTGAGCTGCTCTTATACAATCAGCATAACATGCACCTTGGCTTCAGCAAAACCTTATTTAATATACAGTAATCAGGTAACAGGAAGGAGTTCAAGTCCATCAAAATAATAAGACAAATACAAAAAGGAAAAGTTACACTTATTCTGATGTCCCCTACCTGTTCAGCAATTAGTTGCCTCTGCCCCATTATAAACTGTTTTTGTTGTTCCATTAACAGTTGTTTTTGTTGCTGTTCCCTCTGTTTCTGCTGATCTAGTAGCATTTGGTGCTGCTGCTTCATTACAGCTGCTTGCTGCTGGCTGTTGAGATAGGCTGGATTGCCATGGTTACCTGCCATGGAAACATTGGGTGACTGTGCATTCACACCAGAGCCGGGAACAGAAACAGGAATGCGAGGAACACCAGCAGAAGGATTTTGATCCTACAAAAGCAAACACATAAATTGGATAGGAAGCCTGGAATTCAGTTTGGGAACACAGGATTAAATCTATGATTCTGCTTCTGATGGAGGACTTGTCATATATTCATAGCTATCTGCCAAGAAGTGATGCTCAATGTAATTTTAGTTTCGACTGAATTTTACTTTTAGTTTTGATTGAAACCCGCTCTTATTATGATGCCACCTTTGTGCAAAAGCACAAACCAGACTGGAGAAACAGAGACATATTTCCATACATTATAAAGTGGGTGAGGAAGTACAGGTCACAGTCCCTCTTCACCACCTGTGGGGGCCACTTACCAAAGAAAAATAGGTGTGGCTTTCACTGCACAAACACACACCACAGACTTACAAACACACTGCACAAACACACATTTGTTGTTGTTTAGTCGTTTAGTCGTGTCTGACTCTTCGCGACCCCATGGACCAGAGCATGCCAGGCACTCCTGTCTTCCACTGCCTCCCACAGTTTGGTCAGACTCATGTTTGTCACTTCAAGAACACTACCCAACCATCTCGTCCTCTGTTGTCCCCTTCTCCTTGTGCCCGCCATCTTTCCCAACATCAGGGTCTTTTCCACATACACACATACAACCACGTATCTCACACAGGGTCTTTTCCACATACACACATACAACCACATATCTCACACATGTGCGTGTGTGCGTGCGCGCACACGCACACACACACACTCCCCCCCCATTCTTCCCTCTCCTAGCAATTAGGCTTTTTCAAGCCCAACTGCTAGAGGAGGACTGCAGCAGCAGCAGCAGCAGCAGCAGCAGCAGAAGGCAGCACAAAGATCACCCTTTCAAAAAGTCTTTAAAAGTGACTACTGTACTGCTTTCAGCAACTATTACAATGTAGCAAAGAAGATAAATGAAAGTACAGCAAGCCTGTCTAATAAAAATCTTCATTAAATTAAAAGCCACTTCTGAAGATGCAGCAATCATGCATACTAACAGTGATATTGAAACAAAACCACACAGTGAAGTCTGAGTCTGTTAATGTCTAGTGAGTGGTAAGCCAAGATCCATGAAATGGCCGCATGGGGCAGCAACCATCCAGTGACAGGATTCAAGGAACCTCATTGTGAGAAGAAGCCCAAAGGGCATTTATAACCAAGAGGATTCATTAAATACAGCACAGATACTTTCCAATAATAGGGAAAAGAAATTGATTTCCTCTATGGGTTTGCACTCTCACTGGGGGAAAACCCCAACATTCTGATGCAGTTTAACAGTACCCACTATATATGTGATCTGGTACCCCTGAAGTAAGCCACTTTTGCAATATGACTTACATTACACTGTAATAACAGTCATATTATTCATTAAGGAGGTGGAAGCATTCTTTAAGTAAATTTCTGGTTGGCTTTTTAGACAACTTATACCAGAGATAGAATGTATCTCCTCATTGGTCAAAACAGTTATCCATCTTCATTAAGAGGCATGTTTTTTCTGACTCTAGGTTCCCATAAATACGCTGTGTGAAGTTCAATCTTTACCCTTGGATGATTTCAAGGAAATGAAGACTAATAAAGCCCTATATGCAGTGTTAGAAACTGAGATATGAACGCTAAGAGCTAAATGGCATCTTAAACCTAGATTATGGGCACCGCAGCAATGGAGTGTCTAGGCATGCTGTTTTATAACAAGAATACAAAGCTGAAAATGAATGAACTGCAGCTAAAATCTTATGTTCATTTTTCACATGGTCTAGTCCTCATCTTAAGACTGCATAAAACAAAACCACACTTCCCCTGATATTCTTATGAGGGTCCCTTCTCCAGTCTTCAGAGTAACTAGTAATATCTCATAAGAAACTTCAATCCTAGTCACACCTATTCAAACAAAATAATCAGAGCAATGAAAAGATCTCCTAAAATTTAATTAGATCCTATTTAGCAGATCTTGAAGAACTGTACCCCTGTCTTTATAAAGATCATTGCAGTGACTATTTTGGAACAGAAATAGTATATTATCATGGTATTTATCTTTACAGAGATTATGAAAAACAGCATGTTTCTTTCTCAATTGAGACTGTTGCTAATTGTCATGTCCTTTGTACTATTTTACATTAAGCTCTAAAATATGCACCTTACAATGGAACTACTTTGCATGGCTGCTCTACTTATTCAGCCCTCCTCATTTACTATTATCAAACCTTCAAGCACTTACCTGGCTGTGTGGCCCTAGAGGTCTATAAGCAGTATTTCCAGACTTCTTCATTACAAACATCCCATTCTGCTCATCGCTCATATGAGGCAGAGTGGGTTGCTGACGCTGCTGCATGTATGCCAACATTGGAGACTTGTTCTGTCCAGATACTGTAACTCCTTGACCGCATTCTTTGTAATGTGAAAGAGGTTTCGTATTCCCATAGTCTAGCACAGAGTTTTGACTAGATACAGAGTTCTGGTTTAAGCTGTTTGGCTGATGGCTTAACATATTTCCACCATGATAATTAACTCCAGCCCTCGGAGAACTCTTGTTTGGCATACTAGACATCATGAGTTTCTGGTTATTGAAGTCCTGTTGGTAAACTGAAGGGCTAGTGGGATTTTCCATAGTGTATGAAACAGCTAATGGACTGTGTGAAGGTCCAGACTGCTGCCAGCTAGGAATCTGGTTGGGTTGATGGACTTGCTGTTGGTTCTGCAATAGCTGATCTCTCTTCTGCTTAGCAGCTATCTGTTGAAGCTGTTTAGCAGATGACATCTCTTTGGCACCCCCTGTACTTTGACCAGATAACAATGAACTAGGAAGAGGCCTCTGAATATTCTGAGACTGGCTTGATGGCTGCATCATGGACTGGTTGGAATTTTCAGTTACTGACTGACTGGAAGGCTGAATCATAGTTTGAGAATTACTAACTGATGGAGAAGCAGCACTAACAGAAGAGGTACCAATGAACGTTGTGCCAGCAGAAGTAGATCTGACTTGTGGGGATCCCATCTGCTCTTGTTCAAAGTCTGCTGGGGAAAATTCAGTCTTGATAATGATGTCCTGTGGTAATGGAGTTTGTGCAGCTGAATTTGAAGCATCAACATCCTTCTTTTCCTCAAAGTCTTCTGTAAATAGATCTTTCATATCCTCATCAGGCACGGATCTGTTAAGTTCATCAATGAGCTCCTTCCACTCTTGCTCATTAAGGTTAAGATCAGACATCAAATTATTCTGAGATATTGAACTTCCTGGTCCCGTAATCATACAAGGAAGGTCATCTGGTTCTTGTTTAAGCTCCTTGTTAATAACCATAGCAAAGGGGTCATCAGCATCACTGTTTCCATTCAGCTGAAGGTTAGAGTCTGGCAGACACTTTTTGTTGATGCCATCTAGACCCATGGAATGTTTTCCATTAAGCTGTAAGGTGTCTCCACCAGAAGATTTGCTGTCAAGCTGGTGCAGAGGTGATGCAGGAGGGATTCCATTAGAGGAGCCACTCAATCCAACAAGACCATCATCATGACGCAATTTCTTGGGAACAGAAAACATGTCCCCATAGCCATTCTGCTGGTCGCCATTCTGCGGTGAAACGGAACTATCAAGTTTCCTTTTGACTGTTTCATGAAGCTGCTGAAAGAGAGACAGTTCTAAATTAGTTTTATGCCTCACACCAAGTGCCATCTTGGTTTTTTAGTCTAGAAATCATTCTTTTAGCTACCAAGCACCATTGTTTTCACTGCAGTTGAAAAATTGCAGGGGAGTAAAATCCCCTTTTCTTTAACTCCTTAAAACCATGTGATTTAAAAACCTGTTTGCTTTGGAGTTACAAAAATGCAACAAGACTTGCATCTTTCAAGGTAACACCTAAGGCAACCTTGGATATCTTTCCCCTACATCCCCCCAACAATGCTTTGTTTGCCTGGGCTCAGCCTCCAACACCATTATGAAGTATAACTTGGGAACTCAGGGAAAAGTCTGAAAGCATATGAGGTTACAGAAATGCTGAAGCAGCTTTAGACCTGATCAATCCCTTGGATGGGAGAGCACTGGAAGCCCCATATAATAAAATAAAATAATTATACATAAATGTTTTTAGAATTTACAAACAATGTACCTGTTAACTCTAAAGGGCTAACGCTGCAAAAGAGCACTGTACATGCAACTCCCACAGGGCTGGCCTGCATTGCAACACAAGGCAGCCATGCAAGAGCTGTCCAACAATTCACGGCTCTCTTTGCCCTTCTACTCTAACAATTACTCAGGCTTTTACAGTAGAATATACAGTTATAATAGCCTTCACTAGCACAGCAGGTCATGGCAGCACAAAGCTCATCACGGAGCAAACAAGCTACAGGTGATAAAGTTTGACACAAAAAAAAAGTTGACTGAAGATAATTGCTGCTCACCACAGTCTAGTAGCAAGCTGCATTATGCTCCTCAGAAAATTCGCCACTCAACCAACCTATGTTTTTATGACTAATAGGCAAGCATTTACAAATCTACACTTTAATTTCCAACTTTAAAAACGAAGAGAAATGATTCAGAGTAGATAACATTCCTCTTCAGAATTTTATTATAATAATTGGGGGGGGGGAGAGATATTACAAATTTGCAGCAGAGTAGTGTTCCAAGAAATATAAAAAACTTAACAGAAGCAATTACAGATCTGTCTACCTCAAAAGACTGGGTTTTTGCCTCAGAATTTCTGAAAGCACTAGACTTTAAACATTCAACCCTTCCTCCTGAGGTAAGGTGTAATTTTATACCAGTTTATTTCAGGTAGCCCCAAACCTGAGAGGATTGTATTTAGTGCAAAATATTATATAACAGCAATGGAAGGTTGCACTCAAACCAAATCTCATCAATTGACCAATGAAATTGGCTTATTCAGCTGGAAATTGAATTCCATACTCCCTAGGTCTCGACCCCCATTTTACCCCCTTGTGGACATTTTAGCATCTCCAGCATGTAACCAATAATCCGTGGAACTTCACCAGCAAGTCTTGTCTGCATGTTTTGGAATTGATACACCATTAAATCTATTTAGAAAAAGTAGCAAACCCAATTTAGCTTTGCTTCCAAAACTAGAATTATCATTCAAACTTCTTAATTCAGGAACATATTCCTATAATGTGGGTGCTTTTTTAAAAAAAAACCTACTATTTAGTGGAATGCAAGCAATAATTAGTAGCAAAACAAGATGTGGTACAGTTCTGGACAACACAATGTACACCCATATTTAAGAACTGCTTTAAGGAAATTCTAAAATTCTCTATAAGAGGCCTAGTTATGTGGCACAACAGGGAATGCAGATAAATTCAGTGGAATTTGGTAAGCGTTTCAAGTAGTGTTGTTTAACTGATTAAACTCTTATCCAATTTTCACCTATTTGCTATGTCAGTCCTCCTCTGCCCCCTTTCCATTGGTTATTGTTTTATTCCTCCATTGGATCAATATTTTTCCCCATTTAAAGTCAACTACCTTCAGTTGGAGAGAACCTTTGGGTTCAAGGGCAGAATACAACCATAATACATAAGAACTAAGAAGATATTAAACTTCCTGTATTTTCAATTATCATATTATTTGCATTTTGGTGACCCTCCTGCCCATCAATAAAATATTACTACCTTGTAATTTTCCAAACCCATGCAACAGTATTTTCAGTGAAACTCATATAAGAACATGTAAACCTGCATTACTTTCAGTTACTATTAGATTTTCGGAGGCAGACCACATTGCTGACCTCCTCCACACAATTTGTAAAATCAACTTTTGCTATGTATTTTCATTTCCTTAGTCTTATCTGACTACAAACTAACTGGTCTATGTTCCTATAGCACAAGATGATAAATTTACTAGTGAAGATTTTCTTCCCACAGCAATTGCATTTGACAATCCATGCTCTGTTCATGAGCTATGATGCAATTTCTTATTTTGTAGTGCCCTCTAGATGTAACTAAAGGAAACAGCAATTTGTTTAGCCCTTCAAGTCCACAATGTCTTATTTGTTCCCTGGTACTATCCTCAAACTACAATATTAATAAGTAATCTCTTCTCCCATGAATCAGTTGCAAAAAAAGATTTTCTACCAATTTTTAAGGTAACAGACTCTTACCTACTACAATCTTACCTTGGCAAAAGAACAAGAGTTGTGACATCTAATATATTAACAGATTGTTTCTGTTATAAGTTTTTGTGGACTACTGCCCACTACACACACAAACACAAAGAAAAAAACAACAGTGAGGCTAAATGGCCACAAATTCAGTCTGTAGCAGGACTGTTGCTTTCTCTGCAGCAAGCTAACATGGCTACTCCTAGTCTAGAAGATGTTATGTCTATACAGTCCGAGTTGCATCCAACACTGCGGAAGGGGATTTGCACTTCCAAAATGAGACTTCCCCCTCTTCTCACTGTGCGCTCCCAAAATCTGATCTGGAGGGTGCTCCAACCTTCTGGGGGAGATTTTGAGGGGGCATGGGGGGCTGGAAGGAGAGGAAAGTTCCACTGTGCAGGTCTGCTGGGTGAGCAGAACAGCAGAATTGGATACAATCTACATACTGCTAAAGAGCTTTAGCACACAAAATACTGTAGAAAAATGCTGTACTGTATACATATTAGAAGAGAAAATGAAAACCTCCGCCTATCCTAAATAAACCTGCCCTAAGAAGATAAAAACTATTTTAAAGTATAGCCTGTGTATAAGTAGTAGGGGGAAAGTCATATCATCAGAGTCCTATAAAAAAGAAGCAAAGTCTGTCAATATTTAAGACCGAGGCAACTTCATCCATTTTTCTAACTCTGCGTTGTAAAGAGCCTTCATTTTTTGTGGTTATACAAAACTACAGTGAGTCAGTGAAATATTGGAGATTTGTACTGATATAAGTTTTTTGTGAGCAGCCTGCACTAATTTGAAATGCAACCATTGATCTAAAAGGACATGTTATACAAAATCATTTTTCTACTAGAATATGACTGTAATGTAGAATATGAAGTAATATTGCACTTTAACATTGGGACAAATGCATATTATCTGTTTTACTAGGTGCAAAAAGCTTACAAAGCTTCTACATGTGCCCATATGTAGAAAAAACAGATACATGTGCCCTTGTCACAACTTATACTTTATTGTTCCTACTTGATACTGCCATTTGGATGTGAAAACCATCTTGTGTTAAGTGGCTTTGAGGAAGCATCTTACATCAAACTTCTTAACTGTGATTTTCAAGGCAGTTCAGATGGTGCATTTTCCAGCTTATTTGCAAAAACAATTGTATATTCACTCTAGTTCTAGTGGCTGCTTTTGTGAGCTGGGATTTTTGTGCCACTTTACTAACTTTTCAGACCTTCACAACTTGTCACCTGCCAGGTGCCCACCAATCTCACTATACTGCAGTCCCAGACAGCCAAAAACAAGAACTTGATGCTCCTGGCACACTGCCAAACATATCCACATTTAGCTTTGTGGCTTGTATAAGCCTGATTTAAACATCATAGTACGGTAGTAATAAAAGAAACTGCACTTGCCAAGTTTCCCCTTCACTATAACTCTTGAAAGGAATTCTATTTCAAATCATACAGCTACAAGTATAGAATGAACTCACCTGCAATAATTTCACTTAAGAATGAGCTACTCTATAATAATAAATAAATCTTATACTTCTAGTAACAAACTCATTCTCTAGGGCTGATCTGTATGCAGCAAAAAAAATATACCATTCACCCACAAGAGGGTGCTATCAGCTTACTTGAGGGGACCCCCCCTAAGGGAGCCAAAAACACTCCAAAAACACACAATAAGGACTGAGCATCCTCAGTGGCTACAAAATGCTACAAGCTGGATGCGGGTCAGCAGCAGAAAGGAGAATTCTGGGAAAAGAAATGGCTGCCTGGTACTCTACATGGGAGCACTCCACACTGTTGTGGTTCTCATTTGTTTTTCAGTGTTACAAAACTATTTCACTGCAAACTTAACACAAACAAAGACTCTTAATTAGTCTCAGTTTAACCAGAATACTGTGAACATCACGATAGTGTTCTATGACTTTGCACATGCATGAACTTTGTATTCCATTCTTTAAGAATCGTGTATTTGGCAGTCTACAAAAAATGGGCAAAATCTACACTACCATGTACAGCTCTCTCCAAAGAGCAGTTTACAATAGTTTGGCAAGTGAGTCAGATAGCAGCCCTACCAAAGTATGTCAAGGCGAGAAAAACCTGTTCTAAGATGAAAATTCAAAGGAGAGGAAACAACTGGAAAATAATTCAATACTATCTGCTGAGATACTACATCCTGTTGATCAGTTTAATTGATGTCAGACAATTACACTGAATTAAAAATTAATTAAATTATTGTTCTAGCAATATGTGTATATTTAACACCCTGATAAGTTTTTCTAAAAAATATTATATTCTCTGCTTTCTGACCAGAATAAAAAGGGAAATACTGGACAATTTGTCTGAAGAGCAATAAAAATGTATTCATCTGCTAAGAACAGTGTTGATAACTCCTTTATTTCCTACAAAAGTACAATTATTATTGTTGTTGTTGTTATTATTTATTGAATTTATATACCACCATATACCCAGGGGTCTCAGGGCAGTTCACAATATGAATTATCTCCCCT